TACTACTACTACTACTACTGCTAATAGTTCCTTACGTTCATGTTGCCTTTGAGTCTGATGAAGTGATTTAGCGTCTCTGTTTGTGCATGTTGTCGTATTAACCACCAGAGGGCGCAGCTGCTCTGTGTAATATCAAACAGATCATCTGACTTGTCCCACACTAATAATATAAACAATAATAAAAAAGTGTATGTCTGAAAATATCAAAGTGTAAAAATCTGAACTATTTAAGGTCACTTTTTTCATTGTTGCCATTTTCAGAAAATACACACAAAAAAATTATATAAGCATTTGTAGAAATTCACCATTTATTGAGGTTGTCAGTGGAAGATGTGCAACTTTATGTTTCTGTAAATTGTTTTAGTCACTTGTGAGTATACTGTAACAACAACAACAACAACAACAACAACAACAACAACAACAACAACAACAACAACAACAAGAATAATAAACAGTTTGATACTAGTGTGTGAAATTAATTTCACTTTAATTGCTGCTACATAAAAATGTCTGGTGTTAGAGACCATTAGTTTCTAATAGGAGATACTTTTCTGCCATGTTGCTGTCTGATGATGGTCAGTTGCAGAAAAATGTATGTAGGTGTGATCAAAAAATGAAAAGCAGCAGCAGGGTATTGCATTTGTATTTTATTGTCTTCCACCAGCGCTGTTCAGATTTGCTCTGCAGTTGCTGTTTGGTCTGAAAAAAGTCCAGAGTAAAAAGAAAACAGTGAGAAATGTCCCCGTCCCCCCTCCAGTTAATCTATTTCCTTTTTAAATTGCTACAAATTTATTCTTGTTGTCAGTAAGTGTGTTACTGTTTTGGGGGCAGAGAGGTTCACGCTAAGTTTTTGTGCTTTTGCTTCAAGTCTGAATTCACGTCAGCAGTCGCTCGCTGTCGGCCTCAGAAATCAGTGAAGGGAAGGAGATTGAGTTGATTGGCTGCACGTCACTTCACACACATTAACAGACAGCAGCACACACACACACACACACACAGGCTCGCTTATGGCATGGGACCCTGGACATCTGCCCCTACACACACACACACACACACACACACACACACACACACACACACACACACACACACACAGGGCTAATCTTTGAGACAAGACACACACTGTCCGGTGACCTGCTTTCACACCCCCCATCATCATGTCACTCTCTGTTATGNGCTGCGAGGCAACAGTGCTACCAACTGTCCCACCTAAGCCTAACTGCTATCTATGATAATATTTAATTGTTCCAAGGTTTTAAAACAGTAATCCTTCATGTGTCACTTTATCTCCAAGTGAGAGCATGTGATGATAATGGGTTATACTGTAAACCATAACAGCCTGAAAATGCTTCAGTCGCTATTTAGTTCCTGACAGGATGATAATGACGACTTTATGTGAGGTCAGCTATAAAACTGAAGAGTTTAATGGATTTGTAGGTGTTACATTAATAAAATGTTGGTTTAAGATATGGTGAAATCACAAGTTTATCAGCAGAACCATGATGACAGCTTTACTTCATTTGTGCTACTGGTTCCAGCGATCTTT